GTAATCCAAACACAGGTTTTATTATAAAAACCAGGGAGTGAGAGAAGTATGTTTATTCTGTAAGATAACACACCTGCTCGGTGCCCGGGAGGCTCATTTCCATCAGTTGCCATGGCAAACTCGTTATACTTCAAGGCCATGTGGCTTTGTTTCCTTTTGAGATCCGGTCCTTGTCCTACCTCTTCTAACAACTCCAACACAATGACGTGGAAGCCTCCGACAGCATAATTGATTTCTCCTTCTTTCTATCAGTGGGTCACATTTGCTCGGCACAGGACTAAGTCTGCCTTCTCCTTTGAACTCCTTGCTAACCATGAAGGCATGCTTCAGAGAACCACCCTCATTAACATTCCAGGTCCCTCTTCCCTGTCAGCAATAAACAAGCCCCACATCAATGGCCTCCTTCCTTCCAGTTTTACAAATGAGTGGCTCAATTCCATGTTTTGCTGCCGATCCAGGTGCCCAGGCATACAACTCAGGGCTAAGAAGCACTCAGGAGAGACTAAAAATAGAACAGCAGTTTTGGACGCATACCAGAGCAGCTACTTCATCTCAACTTGCTTTGCACACTAAGCCTAATGGGATCCATCAGACAGGAGTCCTCTGGAGCTCACTTTCTCTCTCCCTGTCCCCTCCCCCCAGCTGCCTTCTACCATCAGCATCTTCCTGGTGAAGGGAGCAGAGGGAGGTCAAGCACAGAACAAGAAATGTGTGCCCTCATGGTTTTAGTTTACAAGCCCTGAGCGATCTGGGGGTTGCAATTACTCCTTCCTTAGGAGAGTTTCTAGAAAAGAGCAGGCAGGCCCAGCACACAGACACCTTTGCCCAGGTACACTTTGGCCCAAAACTGTCATTGGCTAGCAAAGGCTCAAACAGTATTTCTTAATCACCTGACCCATCAGTCCTAGGTTCCCTGAAAAATTAAATAGAAAAGTCAACTATATTGTCTAAACCTCTTACAGGTCCCACCTGATTGACTTGAGGCTAAGAACTTGAGAGCAAATACACAGTCACAGATGGAGGGGCTGTGGAGTCACACATGGGTGAGTCTGTGAAAGGCACCAACTCCCACCAAATATCCAGTAATTCTGTCTGAAAGCATTTTCCAGTAGAAAATGGAACGAGTCAGTGTGAAGGTAGAAATGCTATCCTGCCTGGGCACAAGGCCTCCCAGAATGCCAACTGTACTGGTTCCTTTATGGTGTTGCTATGCCTCCTGAGGAAGGGTACCCTTCCTGCTGCCTCCTCCCACCCAAAGCATGAGCCTACATTTCTCATTTCTCCATCTGAATGCTAATACAGATGTTCCAAACAGCTTTGAATCATTCCAACAAGTGCTGTCTTCGTAGACTCAGAAGTGTAAAAGAAAAGATGACTACCACAGCATTTTAAAATAAAAAGCTTTTTCACTGTTGATGTTTTGGAGACTGGCCAGCTAAAACTAAAAGAAATTGATCCGACTAGTAGCAGGTTTTGTCTATAAGCTTCAGGAAGGTGTCAAGACCTTTTAGGTTGTGCTGTGGTTTCACATAATACCAGTACAAAATAAATATACCAAACCACTTCAAGAAGAACCATACTCCATATAATCACAGCAATAATTAATTCCCAGAAGAATTCCTCACAGAACAAGTTGCAACACAATCATTTAATCCTCGAGCCACCAGAGGACTGAGGTACATCTTCCCTCAGGCCTCCCATGCTCACCAGCTCTCGTTTACCTCAGGGAGGTGCTGGGTCATTTGTCAATTGGGTTTACCAGGGTCTGCAGTCGAGAAGCCAGATTACCTGGGTTCAAACCCTGGAGTGAACTTTGACAAGCACAGTTTCTCTGGGTCCTGCTTTCCTCCTGCATAAAAACAACGTTGCAGGTGTGATTTCTAGACTGAAAATTCCATGACAGAAATAAATTATCTGAGAACTTAATTGTTTTGGTGCTTTCTTTCTTCCTTGTTTTTGTTGTTGTTTGGTAGATGTTCTCATGTAGAGCTATTTATCTTGAAAAATAGTACATAATTCTCTGGGATAGGAGGCATTGCTTCTTTGTGATTTTCTTTCCTAGAGTATTCTCTTTTCATTTGCTTCTAGGAGGTGGGTCTCACTGATTATTCTTGGTTAAGAATAAACAGAAAGATTCTGTGTTTTGGGAGACTTTCTGGATTGTTTCCCAATGATCATAAATAAGATTTGCAGTCAATTTGGCAAAAGTGATGGTGACAATGGGGCATTGAGGTGGTTGATAAAGTAGCTGGTATTAAGAAAAATGTTCTTAGCCAGGTGCTGGTGGCTCACACATGTAATCCTAGCTACTCATGAGGCAGCGATCAGGAGGATCACAGTTCAAGGCCAACCCAGGGAAATAGTTCACTAGACCCTATCTTGAAAATACCCAACATACAAAAGGTCTGGTGGAGTGCCTCAAGTGATAGAGTGCCTGCCTAGAAAGCTTGATGTCCTGAGTTCAAACCCCAGTACTGCCAAAAAAAGAAAAAATGTTCTTGGGCTAGGCACAGTAGTACCCATCTGTAATCTCAGCACTCAAGATGCTGAGGCAGGAGGATCACAAATTTGGAAGGAAAGAAGATACTTTTGGCAAAACATCATGAAACAGGATGGAATGTTTAAATGAGGAACTTGCCTCCCTCACTGAGATGGCTGTGAGAAAAAACTCAGTCTTTAAAGAGGTGGTTTCCTTAATAGGAAACAGAAAAGGGTATAACTGCAATAATTTTTCTGAGTGCTCAGCTGAGAAATAACCAGTCTAATAATACTTTGAATGTAGCCATGTACCAAAATGACTTTCAACAATACAGTAGTTAAATTAAACTAGACAGACAGGTATTTTGAAACCAGCAGCTAAAACTATGTTCAAAATCCTAAATCAGCCTCAAAATAACTTTACATTCCACACACCCCAACCCCAGAAATCAGTTGAAGTCTCAATAAAGCCTTGAGGCTGTAAGGTTATTTTTACTAAGTCAGCCTTCCCTACTCTGCCCCCAAAATATCTACAGATGAACACATGAGGACCAGAATAAAGTCTAAATAAATCAACTGTTAATCTGAGTGTCAGTGTTCTAAAATAGTTGTTAAAATTCTTTTGATGTTGGTGGTCATCTGATTTCATTGAAACTTTAGTAGACAGGCTATTATCACTTGGTTAAGTGTGTGTGTGTGTGTGTGTGTGTGTGTGTGTGTGTGTTTTGTTTTGATTTTTGCTACCAATGCTACAAGTTCTAATACTTTAATGACTATTTGTGGAACACCAGGGGCCTTTCTCTTAACCACCTGGGGATAGGGAGAGTAGAAAGAACTAGTACAGCAACAGGCAGGTCTATGAAGGGAGGGGGGAATAAGAACATCACATGACAGAATCTTTGCAAAGTTAGAAACATTTCAGAATAATAATCACTGGTGTCATCTTATTTCCGTAGGTGTGTAGACTCCCTAATAATGGCATCACCTCAGAACAAAAAAATAATAAAAAGAGAGAAAGAAGATTTGAAGTTTGTGTTTGGGATGTTTTCCAGAAATTTTGAGTTGACCAAACTAGAGTTCTACCAGATCTCAAATGCTACAGAAATAAAGGTTCTTGTCATAAAATATTACAAATGAGTCCTTAATTAAGTTGTGCTACTTTTTTTCTTTTCTTTCCCTATTTTTTAAAAAACAAAAACATTTACTTTATCCAACAGACATCGAAATTATAAACTGAATGAAAGTTTGCAATTCATTATCAACATTTCTTACTTATAGTTGACACATATTTGTCCTTTTCCTGTGGTGACATGCAGGGTTGAACTTGAAGAGACTTAAGAAGTAGACAGACAAGGGGAAACAACTACTCTTACTCCCAAAAGTATTCATGTTGTCCTATTATATTCATCTATAAAGTCATCCTACCTTCCACTATAGTTTATTTACATTTTATAGAGATGTATACATATTTTAGGTATGGGTATATGTATGTATTCTTTTTTTTTGAGATCAGATAAGCCAAAATTATTGACTTGAGGATATTGTTGAAGATACTTGAAAAAAGAAGAAAATGTCCCCATTAAGATATACAGTTTTTATGTTTCTTATGTATCAGTTAAAAAATAAAATTTAATTTTAAAAAAGAAAACATGCCAGGTGCTGGTGGCTCACACCCCTAATCCTAGCTAATTGGGAGACTGAGATCAAGAAGATCATGGTTTGAAGCCAGTCTGGGCAAACAGTTCCCAAGACCCTATCTCCAAAATAACCAGAGCAAAATGGACTGGAGAGTGACTCAAGCAGTAGAGCGCTTGCTTTGCAAGTCCTGAGTTCAAACTGTAGTACCACCAAAAAAGAAAAAAAAAAGAAAGAAAGAAAGAAAAAGTATAAATTTATCCCTTGGAAGATAGGATTATAAAATTAAAAACTCAGTTACTTCTTAAAAGAATATTTAGAATTTAGGTTCCAGACCTCAAAAACTTTTAGGGTCATTAGAAACAACCTATCCGTGTTATTTTACATGCAAGTTTCCAGAGTCTCAGAAAAATAAAAAGACTTGCTTAAGGTCAAATAGGAAGTTAGCCATGGAACCAAGACTAGAAAACAGGTCTTCTAAACCACGACTCCAGCCTGCATTATACATCCCTGTCACTTCACACACATACTCAAATATTTTTGCATACATAGTGAGACTCTTAAGAACCATCATGACACTGGTGTTTCTGTTTTTCTTACAGTGCTGGGGATTGAACCCAGGGCCTCCCAAATGCTAGGCAAGCACTTAGCCCAATCATGGTGTTTGGAATCGTGGTCATATGCTGTACAGAGTTGTTTTGTTAAAAAACTCAAGAATAAAACTTTCACAATTATGTTAAAAAAAGGAGTGTAACTATCTTGTTTTAATCCTTTCATACAAAGAAGTCTTACATTTATCTAATAGACATAAGCAGCTTTGTTGATGTCCCAAGAAGCAACTGCCCATAGCATTATTAATGAGCATTTGAGACAAGGGAAATGCACTCTTACAAAGGAGCAAACATTTTATTATTTGAACATGAATCAGTTTGGTCCGAGGACCATCTGGCCAACTCATAAAAGAAGCCTGAAGCAATAGAGTGTTTGTGATCATTTATGTTTGTTGCCACATCAATTTTATTATCTACTGCTAGACACCGAGAGGCCCAGAATGGACACATCAGACTGTCAAATGGAACATGCAGGATACTGGCACCTTGTGGGTTCTTAAAAGCAGGAAACACACAGCAGCCAGAGTCCCAGGATGCAGAGTACTCTGCACAACAGGTTATCTGGGCCCCTCAGGCTCCTCAGGGAGCGACTGAGAAACAAAACAGCCATGAGTGCCACCCACCAGCCCCAGCTAGAAAAATGCTGCCAGAAGAGAACATGACCCCAGTGACCTGGGGATGGCTGGTGTTCACAGGGGTACCACCTGAAGAGTTGGCAGAGGCCCCCGGGGAGGAGCCACATACTCTTCCTCTCTGAGCAGCCGTAGCAGGATGTTTTTTTTATTCTTGGGCCAGCTGTAAACATGAGTGTTCTGAAGCCAGGTGGGCACGTGCTCCTGTGGGAGACAGAATGACAAGAGCATAGGTCATTGAAGAAAAACCTGCATTCCAGATTCCAGGCTCAGTTCTCAAACTCTCTGGCTTTCCCCCTCATGGGCGTTTCCTACCAAGCTATCCTGGGAGCTGGGCTGTTTTGCTTTTGGAAGGGTTTAGCATGTGAAGTGCTCTCGGCCTCGGGTGCAAGCTGTAGATCTCATTACAGACAGCACATGTGCATAGCATTTTCTGTCAGTCTCCCAGGCTACCTGCCCTTTGCATTTCAACGTGCTTTTCACCACCCTCACATAAAAGGGGTAGGACAGAGGTCACGCAGACTGATGTGAATTCCCCCGTGACTTTGGGAGAAGGATGCCAAGGCTGTGGGCTTAATCTAATTCATTATCCTTTCACTCCAGCCCCAGGTCTGGCCTGCAGTCAAGTAGCTGATCAGATCTCGGTTTCAAGCAGAGGTAGACTTGGGAAGCCTGAGATTCTGGGGGCACAGTTTCTGACCGCCCTCATTGGAGCGGACCTCCTGGTAGGGAGAGGCAGAAAATAAGTAGGTAAAACTGGTAGTGTGTTCAAAAGTAATAGGTGCTATGGAGTAAAATAAAATAGAAAGGGGCTAGGGAGTGCTGGGGCAGGGGGAAAGATCTGCAGTTTTAAATATGGTGCTTAGGAAAGGTCTTGCTGAGAAAATGAACAAAAGACCTAAAGGAGCACGACAAGAGAGCTTTATGGTTGTCCAGACAGGTAGAAGAGCCAGTGCAAAGGCCTTGTGGTGGCAGGCCTGGTCACAAACAACAAGGTCAGTGTGACTAGAGCAGCGTGAGTGAGAGTGAGAGGTGAGGCGGTCTGGAAGTAGAGGGGAATGTATCAGATCGGGCCTTTTAAGTCTTTGGTTTTTACTTTGAGATGAACTCCTTTGGGGACTGGAGGATGAGTTCAGAACCAGCACCTGGGATAGGTCAGGCGTCATGCTGAGAATTGACACCCAGTGAAAAAGACACAGTACTGTTGACGAGTTCCAAATCTCATATGGAGGCAATATGTGCAAACTGTTTTCTAGGCAGTGGCACAGCAAGGGGGCCAGTGGTGGGAGCAGTCTGTCTTGAGCTTAGGCAATAAGAGGATTGTCTGAAGGCAATTTAAAAACAATAATAAAACCAACTAGAAATTGGTCTGCTTTTTATACCTCCATGCTCCAGTAATTCTAAACAATTATTCCCAGCACCCCCAACCACAAACCATTGACTCGAAGTACTGTAATTAAGTGCTCTCAAGAGAAGAGACAATGAAATACATTGGCGTGGAGGAGGACCGGTCTCAGGGGGAGGCTAGAGAGATGGGGTGATATAAGGATAAGCAGGAGTTCACTAGGCTGACAAGTTAGGAAAGGGTATTACCAACAGCAGGAACAGAATGGGCAAAGGCACAGTGATAGGGAAAGCATGGCGTGTGTGAGGGCATGCTCAAATGGCCCGTTATGACCGAGAGCATAGAACACAGGGTGATGAGAAAGAAGACTGAGCAGGAGAGTATGGTCCTTTTCTGTGCAGCCTCATGTGGCACCATAAGAAAGATGGCTATATCTTCTAGTCAGTGGGAAACACCACAAAATTTTAAACTGGAGACAGATAAGACCTACATTTTTGGATGTTCCTCTTTGATGTCAGAACACAGGATGGCTAGTATAGGGTCAAAGTGGAGATGAGTGAGTAAGGCCACCCACCAGTAAATGAGAGCATCAAGTGCCTGGCAAGAGAAGGGCAGGGAGAATGAGAAGGTACACTGTTACATAGTCCGTGCATTGTACAACCACCCCTAGGTGTTCCATTGGGTGAAGAGCTCTCAGTGCAGTCCTGACATCGAGGGATCATCCAGGGTGAAGCCAGGTCTGGGCGCAGGGTCCTGTGGTCTGATTCTCAAGATGTCTGCCTCACCACTGCCTTCCCTTTGGCATGCCTGGGACATACCCTCTGATGGTTTTGCCCACATTCTCGAAGCCTGTTTTGCCCTCCTGGTGCAAAATCTCTCAGGTGACCCAAGGCAGAGTTCACTTAGGGAACTATGTAAACTTAGTTTCTATAGTCTATAGCTTTGAGAACTGAACTACATGCAACAAAATACTTATGTAGAACAGGCAGCAAAAAATGTCCACATCTCTTATGTATAAAAGATAAGAAGTAGCTAGGCACTGGTGACTCACACCTATAATCCTAATATTGGGAGGCTGAGATCAGGAGGATGATGGGTTGAGATGAGCCTAGGCAAATGGTTCACAAGACCTATCTTCAAAATAACCAGAGCAAAATGAACTGGGGGGCATGGCTCAAGTGGAAAAGCGCCCACTTTTCGAGCACAAAGCCCTAAGTTCAAACCCTAGTCCCACCCAGAGAGAGAGAGAGAAGGAGAGCGAGATGTATCTGATGAACAGTCTCTTTTGCTCATGAGGTAAAACACAAACTACTTTGTGTGTAGTGACTGTTTGAACAATTAGGATAGCCACAATCCTACTGGATAACATAATCCTTAAAACCTTTCTGATTCATGTTGCTGAACTGAGTAGTACAATTTCTTGATCTTTCTAGTAACACTATTATCTCTAAGGATTGACAAAGAGTTGACAAGGTTTTCCACTTAAAATCCCAGACAGTAAGCAAACCAATGGTTGAGTTAGGAAGCTTTTTCTTTGTTTGTTTACCTTCTTGGCATTTGGGAAGAGCACAGGGATGAATCTGAAATTCATGCTTCCTTGTTTTATGAACTCGATCTGCATCTGAAACCAAACAAATATGAAGGTTTAATTTTAAGAATGAGGATGGTCCCCACAGTGATACAGGCTTACATGGTAATTTTATTCTCAGTTGCTTGTTTGAGTGCCACATATTTATAATTTTAAGCCCTCCCCATCCTACACTATGTTATTCACTCACTTATCGAAGGCCTATTAGCAGTCATGTTCTGGGCTAGACTTCGGCTTTGAAGCATTAGGAAATACTCTGAGGTGTTCTGGGGCTAGCTCACATCAGTTCATGAGAGCTGCGTGTGTATATTTCTTCTTGATTCTACGTTCAGTGATTTTGAAATTGCCCATGGTCAGAGGATTTATACCATGGAAATGAGTAAGTGCTACAAAATCAGGATTTTTTTTTTAACCTGTCTAGCAGAACACCACTGATACAATCCCTATCCTCCCAAAGCCAGCAGCCTAGTGAGCAGGTAAACTACGAACCAGAATACAGTATGAAAAGTATGAATGATGGCTGTGAGAGCCCAGAATGGGGGCTTCTGTTCTGCATCAGGGGTTTTGAAAGACAGTTACAAGGGAGGGGTCATTTGGATATGTAAAGAAAAGATTTTGACCAGGTAGGTAAACTGGGGAAGAGGGAAGGACATTCTCAGCAGACAGACAGCAGGAGATGAGCTCAGAGGTCAATGGTAAAGAGCCCCGTCAACCAGGCCTGAGGTTCCCATGCCACTTCAGTTATTCTCACACTGTGGTGGCCCAAGCAGATGTAGCTGCCAAGAACTCTATCAAAAACAGAATTTTCAAGCTGGCAGCCAGTGGCTCATGCCTGTAATCCAAGCTACTCAGGAGGCAGAGATCAGGAGGATTGTGGTTCGAAGCCAGCCTGGGTAAATAGTTCTGAGAGACCATATCTTGAAAAACTCTTCACAAAAATAAGGCTGGTGAGTGGCTTAAGGTGAAGGCCCTGAGTTCAAGCCCTAGAACCGCAAAAAAGATCAGAATTTTCATTATCAGGGAATTAAGAGTCTTCCAAATCCTGAGAGCAGCTCAAAGTTTTCAGTCATCTGAGGACAAGGAAATGAGGAATTGTATGTTCCTAACTGTCTCACCTTCCAACTGATTTTTATAACTGAGAAGTCTTCATTGTGCATGGGAATAAAAGGAGAAGAGAAGAAAGTGATAGTGGTGACAACTGGTTATTGAAATCACCATAGAAACCCCTGATAAACACCCACTTTCAAAGACTCACAACACACACACACACACACAGTCACACAATACAAACCTGCCACAAGTGTTTTCTTAGAAGCACCTCCCTTCAAAACCCAGAAAACAACAGCACTGTGCTACTAAAAATACCAAGCACATGAGCACAGAGTAAATTCTGGACAGGAAGGGTGTAGGGTCTGTAAGCTGAAAGTGAAGAACTGGGATTTCATTTTTGACTACCACACTGTATACTATGAAGTCTGGCTTATCTACTAGTCTACCCAGTCTAATGAGGGACTAACTAGCAACAGTTAATTTTTGTTTTCTCTCATACTTGCAGATGTTGATTTTCTGTGAAGTTGTTTCATCTGAGATATAATTACTCACAGGTGCCTTTTCACCCCTTCTGTCATGGTCAAGTTCTTATTGTCCCAGGTTTTCTGTTACCTAAAGGGGACCAGGAAGTCAGCCAGGTGGGCAGGAAGGCACTTCTGTATCTGGCCTATTCAGCCTCTTCTGTGATGAGGAATGGCCCAAGACATTGGAGCCCAAGGAACAAAGTTTGTAAACAATGTGGTTATAGCTGAGCTCTGAGGTTGAGCTGTGGTAAAACTGCCTGGCTTTACCACACACCAACAGAGCTAGACAGGTTTCCCCAGGAACTGGCAGAGACCTGGATCCCTTCCCACGTACCAGCTGTCAGTTCTGGGGACTGGCAGGTTCTTAAAGATCCAGACAGGACATTGGGTGTTCTGGGAACACACAGATGTGATGCAGACAGCCAAGGGATAGAAACATCCAAAGCCAGCCATAGTCTTCTAGGTCAGTTTACTTCCAGAAATGGTGCCTTTTCTGAGCCCTGTCTATGGGCTGTGAGACTAGGTAAGACTGGAGTAGGAGGGAGATTTAACTCCTGACTGTTGACCTTACTTTTGAGCCCCAGCATCTGCTTCAGCTTTTGCTTTGGGCTGGTTGAGAGCTCACATGAGTGGTCCATGGTGGAAGAGGAGACAAAGATCCTGAAACCTTACATGATGGGGAATACCCTCCCACCCTGCCCTTTTCCTATGCGCCCGACCCACAGGACAGGTGGGATTCATCTTCACTTCCCCTGAAGTACAGCTGCATGCCCCGAGACTCCCTGCCTGCTTCCTGCACTTGGCCGCTCACTTGTTCCATCTGGCCAATTCTGCTTGCTGCCTCTTCTGCCTGTCTTATTTGGGATGCCCTGTGCCCACTTCAGATGCCTCCGCCTTGTCCAGAGTAAGAACTGAAATGGAGTTTCTGAGTTCTCCTCCAGTGAGTTTTCAATCCTTCTAAAATCTCAGAACCATTGGTAAACAAACAAGCCTGAGAAAAACAATCAGCTTTGCCTGAGGTGGAGGTGGGAGGCCCAGAGCCAGCCCCACCCCCAGGACATATGGACACTCATTAGAGACTCTACAGGTCAGTATGAAAGTTACAAATCTGTTCGGTTCCCTAGTCAAGCAGAAACAATCCCCACAGCATCTCTGCAGTCACGAAGAGCAAGAAGACTGCTGGGCCACAAGACAGCCAGTTCCAAAGCTGGCTGATATTTTTACTTAGAATGTTCTCTCAGGTACTAAGAGAAGTCTAATTTCCTCTACATTTCTCCCATGGTTTCAATTTGAACAGACCCCATAGGGCAGATCTGGCGGCAGAATTTTCCCGACTTACCATGAACTCAGAACAGTCTCCCTGATTAAGTATCTGATATGTGCCAGAGACTTCACAAAAATTACTTCATTTAGTCTTTACAACACTGCATTAGTGACCCATTTTAGGACTAGGGACATGAGACACAAGGTCGAAGCAGTTAAGCCATGATCACACAGCCTCTACGTGAGGAGGCAAATCTGAACCAAGCCTGTCTGATGCAAGAACATGCACCCTTCCCACTGCTCTCCTCTGCCTGTTTGAAAAGGCAGACAGAAGATGACACAGCTGCAGGAGCCCAGCCTCCTTCACATTTGCTGGTAAATAGCCAACCCATCAGAGAACTGCTTTTCAGAATGTGGGCTCTCAGAGATCACAGATGAATCTCCCCTTATTACTGACAGGAACACTGAGTCCTACCAGAAGTGTGGTGACTTGCCAATGGTCTCAAAGGACAGAGCCAAGACTGACATGGGAGGCCTGGAATTCTTCACCCAGCATCATGCTGTCTTCATTTGGTCCCTAGTGAAGCACCAGCTTCTCTGGAGAGAATGCCTGGCCCAGAGGGGTGGTGAGGTCCCTCACCACTCACCATTCGATGAATGTACTTGGTATGTAAGCCATGCTCATCCTCGTCCAGCTGTGACTCAGCGCCTTCCACATCCTGTTTGTATTTGGGACTGATTGCTACGATTATCATCACTGTCTTCTGTTAATGAGAGGGAGAAAAGGCGTGCTTATAGAAGTGGGAAGTGTGGTCTACTTGCTGAAGGCTGGCTGGAAACTGGCCAGCAGGCCTGTAAGCGTTCCCTGACCTGCTGGCAATGGAGGGCCAGTCTCCCTCCCATTCTCTGTAGAAAGCAAAAGGCACTGGCCCCCACTTGGGCACATTCTCATCTCTACTTCCCACCTCCCCACTGCCTCCCTGCCCATCACCCCTCAAACACACAGAGCAAATGGCTCAGATAGGAGCACTCCTGAGAAGATGTGCTTTTGCCCACCATTTTCCACAACCCATCTCTCTAAACATCTAATGAAAGCCGGAGTCTAATGAATCACTGAGTGATTCATTTTATCTCTGCAAGCCCAGGGATAAAAAGCATTCCCCCTCCCTACAGCTGGATGTAGCTGTCAGTTACTGCACTCCTGCCCTGCCCTGCTTTCCGGTGCATCGCAGTCAGTAGGAACAGACCCTTCCATACAAAGCAAACATCAGGCTGCAGACAAAAGGAAAAGCCAAAATACCCCCAGCTTGCTCAGACTCCTTTCCTCCACCGGCTGCTACCCAAAGAACGCCCTGACACGGACACGCTGGCAGCAATCAATTTCTATCTTGTTAAAGCACAAAGTGTCCCAGTGGCTGGTATAGATTCTGTCAGTGGAAAACAAATCACAGGGCTGTGAGGGGCGCCGGGGGTGGCACACTATGCAGCCTGTCAGGCTGCCCAGAAACCTCTTCAGCCCAGTCCTACAAGACACTCGGGGTGGCCTCAGATTCAAGTGAATTCTGACGCTCCCTCCTCACTACCCGCCTTCATTTCCTCCTTTCCTATTCTGGTCTAGAAATTGTTTGCTCTGATTGTTATCAACCACCTGTGTCTGCTTTGACCATTATTTCCTGCCTGTGCATGTCCAGGAGGGTGACCCCATCCTTCCTTTCCAAAACTCTGCACAGCTTTCAACAAGGGAGGCTTTGTCTGACTTTCTCAGCTTCAGACTTGGGTGGATATGCCAGTGCCTCTTTCACAAAATAACTTCAAGCTGGTTGTCTTTTTCTTACCTACAAACCTGAGTTCTCAGAACCACGTGACATACTTACATCCCGAAGGTAGCGCTCCATCCACTTAATGATATCAATGCCTCGGATTCGATCCTCAAATATGTCAATCTACAAGAAAAGAATGTGGGAGCTGGCTCTTACGAGAAGCTTTCTCTGGATGAAAAGCCCAAGAAAACACAAGACCATATGCTTTTATAACTCAAAAACTTAATAATGATTTTTGCAAGGAGAAGTACGTAAGTCTGAAAAACAAAATATAATTTTCATAAAATATGCCCTACTTCAACATTTGTAGGCGTTTAAGTATTTAATATCCATAAGTAGGATTTAGTGGTTCACATTGCAGTGTATCTGTGGCTACATAATAATTTTTTTTAATGTGAGGGAGATGCACTGTACCACTAAGTTGGACGTAAGCCAGTAATGCACATCCATTATATATATAATTTGGAAATATGAAAGGCAAACATAATTCTGGAACTTTAGTGGGTGTGTGGTGTGCAAGTACCGAGCTACACCTATGGTGCTTAACTTGCATTAGTCAGGTCATTATTACAGAATTATGTCCAGTTTTGATCTACACATTTTCAAAAGAATTGTATGACACTTGAAGGACATCCAAGGAATGGTCACAAAACAATTACTGAGATGGCAGGGAGAAGTTTAAGGTAAAAGGCAAGAAGTAGAACGAGGGCCCTGTTGAGACTGATAGTTAATCAGTCTTCAAGTCTTTGAAGAGGTGTTCAAAGAAAAGAAAAATCAGTTATTTTCTATTTTATGGAAGACCAAATAAGAGGGCTCAGACTTGTGCTGCAGTGCCTTGTGTGTGTGTGTCTGTGGGTGCATACAGTGCTCCTGACTGGAAGAGGTGACTTGGGAAGAGTGTCCTTGGACGGGTTATTTGACTCAGCCCCACTTCTCCCAGAGTAATTGTCCTAAATGTCACTGTGCTGTTTTGGAATGATCAAGTGAAGTACCAGCCACCAAGCTCCCTGTGCCATCTATGTTCCCTCTTTACCTCTCTTTTCCTGAAATACTCTGCCTGGCTACATAGAAAACCCCTGTCCCAAAAAACTAAAACACGTGGGTGCCAGTGGCTCATGGCTGTAATCCTAGACACTTGGGAGGCTGAGATTAGGAGAAATGAGGTTCAAAGCTAGCATGGGCAAATAGTTTGTGGGACCCCATACCCAAAATAACCAGCGCAAAATGAATTGGAGGTATTGCTCAAGTGATAGAGCACCTGCTTTCCAAGCATGAAGCCCTGAGTTCAAACTCCAGTCTCCCAAAACCAAACCAAACCAAACCAAACCCAAACAAACAAAACATGGCTGGGGACATGGCTCAAGTGGTAGAGTGCCTGCCTAGAAAGCTTGAAGCCCTGACTTCAAACTCTAGTACTTTAAAAAATATAAAAGTAAATAAATAAATAAATATAATGACTACATTAGATCATCTGGAGAAAACTTTGAGCTCTCTGAGAGTGTATCAGTAAACCATCTCCATTATGGGAGAGAGAAGCAATGGTATGTCAGGTTGAGAAGAGATGGGCAGCTGGGGTTCAACTTTTAGCTCTGCCACTTTCCATCTGCACCACTTTAGAAATGTCACTGAAATCCCAAATCTTATGATCTTCATTTGTCATATGTGGTTCATAAACCTACTTCCTGTGGTTGTGAAGATTAAAATGAGTAACATAGAAAAGGCCTATCACTGTGCCAGGCATGAAGTGAGCACTCAGTAAATGGCAATTATTATTATCCCAGCACCCACATTATTCCCTGCTATTGAGACGAGCATTCTGGGAGTCACAATGTGCTAGGTATCTTCCATTTGCCTCTCCAGGGCTCCCAAAGTCCACAGCAATTGCCATGACAATTTCTCCACACAGCCACTATTATAAGCTAAATTGTGTCCCTTAAGGTTGGTATGTTGAGTGTATTTGGAAATAGGGCCTTTATGGAGGTGACTGAGGTGAAATGAGGTCATGCTGGTGAGCCTCCTCCAACAAGACAGGTGTCCATGGAAGAAAAGGGAGATAAGGACACAAACATGTGTGCACCCAGAGGAGGGACGACGTGAGTACACCCAGAGAGCGGGTGGCCATCTACAAGCCAAGAAGAGAAGCCTCAGAACAAAACCCTGCTGATCTTGGACTTCCAGCCTCCAGAACTATGAGAAAATGAATTTCTGTCATTCATGGAAGCCCTAGCAAACTCACACAGCTACCCTCTTCAGGTTCCAGGCACTGTTACTCCCTTGCCTCTTTAGATGTTAGCAACTACTCCCTGCTTTTGCTAGTGCCAGGGTATTGCACTATTCCCTCTGGGGTCCCTAAAACCTACCCAAAACTTTGAAATTGTCTTTCACCAAACCCTCCCTAAATGAAAGCTTTTCGTTCCACTATAGGGAATTTAATGTGTGAATAGTGACCTAGCTTTCCAGGACCGGGCTCTGATTCTACCGTAAGTCTTTGTAGGACGAGGGTCTAGAATAAATTGAAATTCTCCCTAAACAGACTGTGTTTAGGACTTTTTTGCTGTTGTTTGTTTGTTGAGGTCAAAAAGCCTGGCTGTTCTACAAGGCAATCAGTACATGTGTATTTGGAAAAGATGGAAAGTAAGATCTCTTCTGAAGTGTTGACCTTATGTCTTGTAATTTGATTTTCATGTCACTGTTGCCACAGTACTTTCTTATTCCAAGAATGAGAAAGTGAAATATTGGTGTCTACAAAGATGTAAAGTTGGATTGTATAAAGTTTGGGCATTTTTTTTTAACTTTAAAGTCCTCCTAAGTTTTAAAAAACCATATTACAGAATAAAGAAGACATCAAATAAAAATTGTTCAACAGTGCTAAGGAGCCTCTTTATCCTTTAATTTCTAAGTATCCCCTTTCTCCTTCAACACTACCATTCCTCCAACACTAATTTTTTATCTCTCTCTAGAATGCATTGTCACTAAATACCTACGAGAGGCCCCTGGGAGGGAAAAGAAGTGATTCGATGTGTGAGGAAAGCCAGTTCTCCATTATTTATCCTAAGGAAAAATGTGTATGGCTTTAAGCTGCACTGCTTCAGATGATGGGATGGGGAAGAAGAGCCTGAGCTTTGTCTGGCCAAAATCACAGTGGGCAGGCAGAATTGGGTTAGGTCTGCTCCCCTAGAACTGGGCTAGGCTAGTTGAAAACCCAATCATGTTTTCCCTGTCCAGAAACTTTGCTGGTGTGTTGGGTCAGGAAGGGCAGGCGTGTGCAGTAGGGAACCAGGTTGCTAGGATTCTACTTCAGACCTCAACCCAGTGAAGAACAAAATGACCTTGTTAAGTAAATGTGTGACTGGTGAAGCCTGCACCACAGGAAGCACAACCAAAGTGTGCATGATTGGCAAGAAGGGACAAAGCATACAGGGCCAGCTGCATACATAGGGGACATTAGTACAATCCTTGCTATTTGGAAGTACTTAGGAGCACTCAGAAAGCATATGAGGAAAAAGGCTGTAGATTTTGGATAGTGTAAAATCTAGAAAATAAATCAGTAATCATTTATTTCAAAATAACATAAATAACATTGTTTAAAACACAAGTATTTATACTTTTTCTTCTTCGTTTTCCTTATTGTACACAGTTTTCTAGGTAAAATACTTACTGCAGTTTGGAAGCCATTTACCAACAAAAAGTTCACGAATTTCACCACCTCCATGGCTGTGTCCATAGAATAAGTGATAAAGACTTTTCCTAAGAGAAAAATTTTCACATTAATTAGAAACTAGTCAAATGATTGTACTCTATGAAAAACTTCCAAATTGTATGCAGTGTCTTTTGTCCTTCTAGAATAATAAGGGGAACCCTGGGATGAGGGTAGTCTAAGGGCTTCTGCCTGCAGTGGTGTGGATTGCTGTCCTCAGGGCATAGCTCCTCGAGGGCAGGGGCCTGTCCAAGAGGGTGCCTAGTGCCCAGGGTAAAGGAAAATCCAAAGGACAGAGGAGAGCAATGGCAGGCTGAGACAAGCTCAGAGGTCTTCTGAAAGCTCACATGAGGCAGTAACAAAAATCCACCACCCAGAGCCTGCAGGTCTTTAAGCTCAAGCCACTGCCTGGTTTCTTAGAGACACTTGGCACTATGCCCCAGAAAAATACTCTCTCAGCAGGCCAAGAAGCTAAGGCTTGCTAAGAGGCCACCCAACAGTGTCCTCTTTTGATCTCGTGATATTCTCTGCTGCCCTGAACTGTTGCTGGACAAGAGCAAGTGGTGGTGGTGGGGGAGTGAGAAAATATGTCTCCTCCCTGCCTCCCTTAACGACACATTTTTGGAGAAAGGCCAGGAAGTTGGAACAGACAGCTCAGAAATGTTAGTAAAACCTCAGCAGCTTGAAGGAAAGACACAGCCTCAGGGCAGTCCAACATCACAGACTCCTTCTTTCATTCCTAGGCCAGCTTAGAGCAGCAGACAAACTGACCCAAGCCAGGATGAGTACTAGTGTGTTCTCAGACTAAAGTCTTGGGGAAATTATCTGACTAGCATTTCAATATAAGAGATGAATAACCTCCACGTTGGCTTTTAGTCTGAAATGAACCAGTTAAATCTCAAGAATCCCTGAGGGCAAAGAGTAGAAAAGAAAGAGGAGCTAAAGAGAAAATATGAGTCTGTGTGTGTTTCATCCATACTTCTTGTTTTAATTGAAACACACCTCTCAGGTGGAAGTGTGTATAGGGGTCATGTTAACTTATTTAAGGAGCCAGGCATTTATTGGTGGCACTTAGTTCATTTTCTTCTCACTACCTACTATTCACCCAGTTCCTATGAAAGTAATTTTAGGACTCACTGTCTAGATTAGGAAATAGATATTATCTACAGATGGACATGGGAACTCACTGTAGTTCTATGGGATTATAGCAGGCAGCATCTCTTCCCCCAGAAATACTCAGAATTAAAGTGTGTAAGACTTTAAGATGTTCAGAAATAAAATTTTTGAATGAAAACAATGATGAGCCATTGGCATAGAAATCTTCCAGAGTTGTCAATGGCTGAAGAGCACAGATTCCCAAAAAGGAATTAGCAAATGTAAAAAAACCTCAAGTTCAGAGTCTCAGATTTGGAAAGAACATATTAGAATTACCTGAGCTTCTCTAGCAAGCAATAGATGACAATTTCACAAGCAGTGGCTGTTTTCTTAAGATTTCTGGAACTATCCCACCTGATGTTAGAGCTCTGAGAATATTGTAGTGATAGTTCAACATTTCTGGTTCTGGCAGCAAAATGTGGAAAAAGAATCATCGCCTGACACTTGGTCGAATGTTTCTTTAAATAAAAGGTTTAGTTTGCATTTGGTTGTGAAGCAGTATGGAGAATGTCAGACCACTTTTTTTCAAATAAGATTGCTCCTTCCTACAGGAAATGACCTCATTGTTGATGGGTGCTGCTTAATTTAAGTGAGACACCAGGTTTCTGTCCAATGCCATGTGGACACCCAATCAATTTACCCAGGCACAAGTCCACTCAAGAGCATCATTTAGAAGAGGAAAAACCACAGGGGTTATTAGTTGTTGAAGAAAATCTAGTGGTAAGCAGTTTGTGAGTATTACTCATGGTGTCAGAATCGCTAAAAACATTCATACAAATGTGGATTATTTTTTAAGCAAAAAGTAAGTTTCATTTCTCTGTGGATATTAAAAATAGCTTAGATCATGGATGAATGACCAAGAAGTTCTCTCAACCTACAGACCTGAGAGAAGTAAACCACATTGCAAACAACTTACGTAATTCTTCTGGCAAATTGCTTGTTTTCAGAGTTCCTCTGGCTGGAGGGTTACTTGGGGGTCTAGGCACAGCAACTGGGGATGGAGCCTGGGGACCGTGTGGTCTCAGCTCTGCAGGACATTCCAAGGACTCCTCAGGAGCTCCAGCTCCACTAGGTGGCAGGTGATACAGCTGGTCCCTGGAAGGGAACACATTTCCATTTTCTTTACAAAGGCAAACCTGAGAGGAGGCAGAAAGCCTTTAAGACCTGTGGGAAGAGAACGATGCACTCTTTCTCCTCTGCCGCCATTTCTTACGTGAGACATAGAAGAGCAGAGCTCATGGAGTTTCTGTCAATAGGCAGTTCAGCTGGCTGCCACGTGTAAGAGCTGTGCTAGGGGTCAAAAGAGGGAAGCAGGATTTGATTTCTCAAAAACAAAGTAGTATGATGGGTGACATAAACTGATGTTAAAGTCATTTGGACTAAAAAGACATGACTTTTAGCTTACGATAGATAACATTTAATTATGCACCAGAAGCTTGAAAAAAAAAATGGGGTTGTAGGATTGATGGGGTATATAGTTCAAGTGGTAGAGCAGTGGGTCCAATCCCCAGAACTGGAAAAAGAAAAAAAGGCCATGTAGGTTTAAAAGTACTTATATTGTTAATATATGAAAGAAAGGTCTGATTTTGGAGAACCATTAAAGAAGTTTCTGCTTCACTGTGACATGGCATCTGTTTTAGTATCTTTTTGCCGGCATTCTCATGAGCGTTCTGCTTGGGTGACTAATCAGATGCCTTCATGTGAGATGTGGAAGGCAGAGGGAGACCGTGCTTCTGCCACTTTTGTGATTTCTGTTAGTAAGTGGTCATGAGTTTTCCTCAGAAGCATCTCAGTATCCCAGGACCAAATTCCCAAATGTCAAGGGCAGGTATGGGATCCATCTTTTGTCAACAGATCTAGCAGGCACAGAATAGACCCGCCGGCTGCATCTTTGGGTAGCAGTGGTGTCAGCTTTCTGAGATTGCCAGAGGAGACAAGATCTTCTGGGGTCGCATCCTATGGGGTTGTTCTGGGATCATTCCCCAAAGTCCAGCCGAAAGCTCACTCCTCCATGTAAGGTTCTGTAAGCACCAAATTCTCTACTTTAAATCCCCTTTCTGCTTAAAATAGCTACAACATGGATGTTTGTCACTTGTATGCTTGAAATGGCTTTGTATTATAAAAATTTTTAATGTTTTGATTACAAATCTAAGTGTATATGCCCAATTTGTGTAGAATATTGTTAGTGCTCTCGTATTTTTACCTGAGCAATTAAAAAATCCTTAGAGTCCTGTGTTACAGGATTTTTAAAAATTATACAAAATCTCAACTATACTATATTTCTAAAATTTGAATGCTTGAGGACATTATTTTTATTTAAAATTTTTATTAATAAAGAGAAAATGACTCCTATAAAATATGCTTTCATCTAATGGAGATCCAGTTTCTGAATCTTTGCATTAAATCCTTTTATACCCAAAATTGCTTAGTTGTTATAAAAGATGATAGTTCTTTGATTAAGAAATTTTGATAATATTCAAAATTTTCCATTTAAAAACAGTATCATAGAGATTGATGATAGAGTAAACTTTCCTTATTAATGTTCTTTTTCATATTATCAGTAAGAGGAGAGTTAGCTTTTTCACCTGGACTCATTTTTCATTATCCTAAAATGACAAAATAAACCAAGGAGACCACAGAAGGCTTAAATTGATGGTATAAAACCAATTACTCTGAACTACCTTTGTAACTGGCCTGTAAATCTAAAATCATTTCAAAATAAAAGCTCATTTTAAAAATTATGATTGCTTCCCCTATTCAGAACCAAATTTATTTCATAAAGATGCTTACATTTTGTTTGTTTCCTTGGAGTTTTAGATATTTCTTCTGCAAAAGTGATTTTCCTGATATAAAATCACATTACTTAATTCCACTACTTAGACTCTATGTGTTTTTGTTTTAGAAAAAAATGAAGTCTCTGTCTGGAAAGAAAATATGAGTGCTGTGGACTTGCTCTAATGGGGAAAGCCAGAATGTGCCTTGTTTGCCATTGTTAATAGGATGGGCTTTTTTTTTCTTTCAATAAAAAACTTTTGAGCTAATCACCAATTTCTGTATTTCTGAAAAATCCTCTTTAATTGTAGGATCTTCATTTCTCATTCTGTTCTATAAGAGGAAAATATAATTTTATTTTGAGTGGCATATGAAAGTTATACTTCAGCAAGAGCAAACATTTCATCCAATTTCTTTCCAATTTTTTCATTAATTAGAAAGTTCCATTTACATGTGTCCTATGCGTTTTAGATATATAAATTATGAGAAAAGAAAAATTTGAAGAGTCAGACGAGAGCAGTAGGGAAAATAATAAAGGGTGTTGTAGCTTGGTTATTGTTTGAGCATGTTCCTCAAAGGTTATTTGTTGGGAGGTTGGTCCTCGGTAGGCTGGTGTTGGGAGGTCCTGTGGAACCTCTGAGGTGGCATGTAGTAAGAAGTAATTAGGTCTTTGAGGGTGCTGCCCTTGGAAGAGATTAATATAGTTCTTATGGGACCCTGGTAATTCTGGTGAGAGAGTTGTTATAAAAAAGTAAGTCTAAAAAACTGGGCAAATCCCACCTACTCAGGAGGCTGAATCAGGAAGGCTGTGAGTTTGAGACTAGCCTGAGCCACTAGCAAGACCCTGTTCCACAATCACTCACTCAATCAGTCAATCAGAGCAAGCCTAGCCCTTCCTCATTTTCTCTGGCTTCCTGTCTCACCATGGGATCTCTCCTTATCCCTCATATACTCCCACCACGATGTAACACAGCCAAGGGGGCTCACCAGAGGTGGAATAGATGGGGGTCCCTTGATCTTAGACTTTCAAGCCTCCAAATGTGGGCTAAAGAAACATCTTTCCTTTATGTGGCACCCAGCTTCACTTACTTTGTTGTAGCCATGGAAAACAGACATAAGGTTAAACAACTGAAGTCATGAAAAACCAGAATTATTTTTCTGGAAGAAGTATAGGAGAGACTCAGTAATAGTGATCACCATGTATAAATGTTTTTGTTACAAAAGAAAAAAAAAGTTATTTAATTTTTATGAGAATTAATTGAATTTAAAACTTGTGAGATAGGATTAATCAGGTAGAAAAATTAGGAATATAAACAACTTGCTAAAAGTGGAATTTGGTCATAGCAAAAATAAAAATTCATTTCATGGACTAAAAGTTCAGGTTATCTGAAAGTAAAAGAAGGAAGTTTAATTTGGAGAGCATCTTAAGATCTTTTCCTTAAAGAGAATTTTGACTAGTTAATAGTGGCTTTGTATGTCTGGTGAAGAGACCCTTGTCAGCTAGCTTCCATTTCATTCTGACCTGGAAAGTTTATATTGGATATTCCACTACGTGACTGTCACTAACCTGGGTAGCAGACCTACGAGAATTTTGATACATCTTGGTTGCATTGGCATAATTCTTTCTCAGAAGTGTGTGAAGGTTGTCCCTGTCATACTTACGGATACTGTGGGAGTCTTGGAAAGAAGCAGTCTCTTTGTGCATGCCTCTCTTCTTGGTCCTGGACGCTGGGATAATTCAGAACGACCTTCTGCACAGGGTGTGGGCCTCTCACAGTTGCACCAGGTAGGGGCTGCCCAGGCAGAGATGGCCAGATCACCTGCTGGTAGGCTGCTCGAGGGTAGTCATGGCCATCTGTAGGTGAAGACAACCAGAAAACATGGACAATCGATTCTAGCTCCTTCATGTGAAAGGAGAGTAAGCTCAGTGAAAACTGTCTTTTTTTTTTTTTTTGGTGGTATGGAATTTGAACTCAGGGCCTAGGCAAGCGTTCTACCACTTGAGCCACTCTGCCAGCCCATGAAAGCTTTGTCTTGAGGCCAACTGAGTGGTTCAGATATCAGTTAATACCTCCATGATATTTGTCATACTTCTGTACTACTTCTTGATAGTTTTCATGAAATTGATTAACTTTTTTTTTTTGAATAAAATCATTCGTGAAATCACAAATTTGATATTCTAGTTAGAAAGCTGAAAGAACTTTTAAAAAATTCTACACAGGCTCCTATTTTAACAAGATACTTAGGATAATTTACACCATGAACAACCTCTCTCATGCTACCATTCCTGCCATAATACCTCAAGTGTGCTGAACACAAGGCTAAGAGATAGATATCAACTCACTTTTCTCTCATTTCCACCCCCAAGTGGAGACATGCATGCACGCACGCACATACACCAGTCCCTCTTATGAAGAAGTAAATGAATAAGAAATCTTGGCTTACCCCTCTAGGAAGTAGCCAACCAGTTGTCAACATCCTCCAACTTCCCTGATTTTTCTTGCTAAAGTCCATGTGCGCTTGATGCCACAGCAATTTGAAGAGGACAGGGATAGAAGCAAAGCCAAGGCTGGCAGGAACTGATATGCATATGTAACCTGGGAGAAAGTTGGCCCCTGCCAGGCCCAGGAGATGCCATGTCACAAGGGAAAAAGGGCAGCTTGGCTATCCGGGTAAGAGAAATGAAAAGAGGTGCAGGGGAAGCATGCAGGGAACCCAGTAAGGCTGAGAGGAAGGCTGAAGGGTCTTGCCCAGGCCCAGAGGGACTTGCCAAGGTCCAAAGGGGTGAAATTGTTGGCGATCTAAAAGGTACATGTGGACTGGAGAGAGCCAAAAAGAACCACAGGCACCTCCTTGTGATCCAAGCACTGCCACCTCTGTCCACATAAGAAGTATGGTGATCCAGGGGGCGTAACTAATGAGGACAAGAAGAACCTTCTTTTTTTTTTTTTTTTTTTAAAAAAAAGGTCTTAATTCTCTTTCTGATTGTAAAAGTAATGATCGGATTTGCCTGCCATGTAGTAGGATACACGCAGGGATACGCCTTGAAATAAAACTGGCAAGTAAGCAAGAAAACAACAGGTGAGGTAGGTCGGAACCAGAATGGGGAGGGTAAGAATGTGGCTGAGAATTTATTCTTAGTTTGATAAGCAGTCAAGAGCCATTGACACTTTTAAGGGAAAATTCAGGGGAATGATGGCCTCAAGTATAGAACAGAGGACAAATAATACACATGTTCACCAGTGTGACTGCCTCAGGTCCCCACTGTCTGGACTCAGGAAACTTGGTTGGGTGACCCTGGCATGTTCCCAAGCCAGTTTCTCATGTATGATCAGACTTCCTGGAGTTTGTCTCTTCTCTTATTTGACCCTGACATCAGCTAGGTCCTTCCTGTCATACTTTCTCTGGCAAAAGTGACTGTGCCCCTCCAACATGAGTTGTCTCTCGGCTCTAACCCATGATCCATGCCATGCTATTAACTGAGGCCTGGTCACAGCAATTAATAGAAGTTTACAGAAGGGGAGGAGGAGAAAGGTATCTGCCTGGGCCTATGCCAGCCCCTGGGTGATTAAGGAGACCAGGACTTGGAGGGCAGCTCTAAGATCGGGGAGACAGGACCATGAGACCACAAGGGTCCAAGACAGTATCTACCACACAAGCTTTGCTTTTACAGCCTTCTTAGGACAGGCTGAATATATTCCAAGGTGTCCAGATTGTCAGCGGGAGTATCAGGAAAACAGGGTAGGTCCAGCTAGGAAAGGATAAAACATGCCACTGCGATTAGGTCACCAGCCAGAGACCAGCCCTGCTTTTAGTTTAAACTTCTGTGAGTGGGCCATGCTGTAGCTCCAGCCCTCTGGAGAGCTACTGCACTTATGATCGATCACTCTGCTCTTTTGGATCTCATCTCTATGACCCACTCAGTAGCTCACCAAGCCCCAGCTGCATCTTGAATACCCCAAGCTGGTCTCCACCTCTGGGACCCAAGGTTGCCACTTGTTCTGCCCAGAATGTTTTTGCATTAGCTCACCACAGCCTAATTCCTGTCATTCAGGGCTCAGCTCAGATATCACCCAGTTACCTTCTCCATCCCTGTTTTATTTCCTCATCACCTTACCAGGAATTTGTAAAAGTGTGACTTGTCAGATTGTTGCCTGCCTTGCCTACTAGAATGTAAGTTCTTTGAAAGCTGGGACTATAGCTGTTTGCCATGATGTCACCAAGCATGGTATGGCCACACAGGCGATGTTTAACAAAAGAACAGCCTGAATGATTACAGAGCTAGCCTAAACACAGAAAAGAAGCCATTTCAGATTGCATGGTCTGCTTGCTAGGTCTCAGGTGTCCTAGACTGCCTTCTTCTCATCTGCTGTCCTTGTCCCTTCCTTTCTTTCTTTCTTTCTTTCTTTCTTTCTTTCTTTCTTTCTTTCTTTCTTTCTTTCTTTCTTTCTTTCTTTCTTTCTTTTTCTTTCTTTCTTTCTTTCTCTTGCTCTCTTTCTCTCTCTCTTTCTTTCTTTCTTTCCCTCCCCTTCCCTCTCTCTTTCTTTCTTTCATCAGTGTCTCCCTCCAAGAAGGACAATGTCAAAGAGGAGAAACTGCCAGTGGCCTTGAAAGCTTTTCCAAGGTAGGGGCTGAAAATAAACTCAAGTGGAGTTTTTAATGTTTGGAGCCATTTTTGCTTTCCATATCCATTAATGAGTGGCTAATAACATTTTATTTGCTTTAAAAGGACTACCAAGGTCTAATCATAGGGTTTGTTTCTTTTCCAGAAAGCGGATGTTAGTGCTGTTAATCAAAAGCTTTTGAATCAAGGTCATATGATTTCTAACAGATTATTTCCCGCACAACATGTTTTTGTCTCATAGCAACAAATCGTGTCATTAAAATCACTAAGGCATGTGTGCTAAGTGTTTGATTAGCTGTAACTTTCATTTCTGAAATGGCTACCTGTGGTAAAAAGTTACACCAATTTATGTGCACAGATGAAAATGATTCACCTCATTGATTTTTAAAATTAGGGTACTGACCACATAGTTCTCTGTGCTGCCCTCTTATTGTTTTAAACAAAGAAATATTGGATATCAGAGTCAATGAAAAATAAGTTTTCCTTTATAAGAAACTTGACTAGTTTTATCTGGAAATTTGGCTAGTTGTGTGGAAAAGTTGCTAAATAAAAAATATTTTATTGGGTAAATGAGTATCTTTTTCATTGCACAAGTTTTAATTCTTCTGTGGCATTATCATGGCCAAGCCTTTGGTAGTTTAGTTGGATGTTATAATAATGGTTAACATTTATAGATTGCTTGCTACCTGCCGAGTTCTGTCTAGGTTCCTCATTCAGGTTATAGAGTTCAATTTTTCCTAAAGTAGTTGAACTCAAAGTAGAATACAAATTGTTCACTGTGGCCCTTGCATCTTCCATCCTCTAGCATACAATTCTGTCCCTGCCACCATCCTCCAGCCCCACTGCCTTGCTTTTGGTACCTCATCGACACCAAGCTCCTTGCTTCCTTGACCTTCTCATCCTTAGTTTTCAGCTCATCTCTTCAAAGAGACATTCTCTGGCCAGCCTGCCTATTAATATTTGTTCCAATATCCAATATTTCCTTTATAGCATAAATAATTTTGTGTGTAGATATCTACTTCTTTTCTATCTCCCAGTAGATTGTAAACTCCTCAAAGACAAGGGCTGTGTGTGTTGTAGTCACCAGTATATATGCAGTGCCTAGCCGATGATCTCACATATATTGGTTGAATAAATTTATAAATGAATGGACAGGTTCTGTTTCCAAGTTCATTTTTCTCCTTCCTTTTCTTCCCTACCAGACAATTAAAGATGGCCTTTCCAAGACTTGACATCACAAAGACTCTGTCATGGTTAGAGGTCACTCCTTTCCCCAGGAAGTAAGGAACAGATTTCTTTTTATTCATTCAACAAATATTTATAGTCCCTGTACTCCTAGGCACTTGATGAACAAAGATAAATAGGATACAGTTCTCTTGAACAGCTCATAATAAATGGAGAGAGGAAGAGAGAAAAATCTGTGTGTCTGTGGGTGTCTGTTTTAAAACACAAACCTACACTAGTTAGTGTGTGAGAAAGGGAAGCTCACAAGTCAGCAGCCACGACCTACTTGAGAATCAGTGCTCAAAAACAGTTTCCTACAGATTTGTTCCCAGTGCCTAAAATTCCAGCAAGAGAGTTTACTCTGTAGGAGATGGAAGGTGGGTGATGTGATAGACAGATGATTCCTTAACATGGTAACTCCTCAGTTGTGGGGCGGTCTTGATCATCCCACAAAGATGGAAATCTTGCACAATCATCACATGTGGGCACCCAGTACTGCATGTTATTTGTCAATCTTGTGATCCTCTTGGCCTGAGTACACAGTCTTCATATTACTAGGCTTTTACCACTGGGAATTTGCAAACCAAATCCTAAACGAGGTTTTTCCATCTATCAGTGAAAACATTCAACATTTTTCTTCCTTATTAAGAATGGTATTAAAAAAAGCTTATGTGAGAGAAAATAAAATTTGATTTTCAAGTTGTCAAAAAACATCATAATAAAATGCCAGGAAACAAAATGGCCAACATAAACTGTTACAGGAACTTTCACAGCTGTAAGCAGCTGTGGCTCTAGTAAGGCAACTCCTTTCATTATCATTTCTTCCATCTGGTTTATTTTCTCCTTACTTTAATTGTACATGCATTCTGGCACACAAATAATCACTTGATTTTTTGGGGAAGGGGGGTCATGAGAGCAATTGTAGGCATGTACCCACAGCTTTATTTTATTCTGTCTCCTTGGTAGAGAAAGCAAGAATTTTATAATAAAATAACTGCTTACTAGACTTAGACTTAATTCCTGTCCCCTGCCCCCAGAATATCTGCATCATGGACTTTATTTGATTACACAGCTATGGACTCCATTCTGGTGACCTTCAGTGGCAAGGTTCTGAGGAAGAAGAGGCTGACTTCTTCCCAGGAGTGGGGGAGAGGAGAAAATGTAGGCTATTCTGTTTTTTATTTCATCTGCTTTGAAAACTTTTTTTTTTTTTAGCATGAAAAGGGTGACCAGTAACCAATTTTGCTTTAACTTACAAAAAGCTAAAGATATGCCATTTGCATGGTGATCATTATTTATTTATATATTCATTAACAGGCAAGGAAGTAATGCTCTTCTAAAGCCGAGTAGAACCACGTAGCCATGGTTTCCAACTGCACAAGCATCCCTCAGGTGAATAGCTCTTTTGAAGTGGTTTTGTTGGCAATTAAGTGCAGTTATAGCCCTGACATGAAACTCAGCATTTATATACCTGCCCTGAATGCTTAAAATCTGTGCCAGTGAGAGGGAGCTGGAAGCAGAAGCACAATCTGAAGGGCTGGGCTGCAGGATCCATTTAAAAATAACAATAACTAAAAACTGCTAGTATTGAGGTCTTACTAGCAGCCAGCCACTTTTCTAGTGCCTTTAACGTATTACCTCATTTATTCCTTACAGCAAACCTTCCTGGGAGTCCTTGCTGCTAGGTGCCTCATTAATATTCTGTGCAGTTCCCTACAGAAAAACCATAAGTGTTGGGCCACCCTGACATCTTTCCTGTGATTAAATGCCCTTGGGAGCCAAAGTCAACCTATTTTCAGGGTGAACAAGGGCAAGCTCACCTTTTATGCACTCTTACTTTCCTCTTCTCAGCTTTTTCTTATTTTTTTAATTATAGAAGTAATGTTTGCTATAAAAATTTAACAAACATATATAAAGTTAGAAGGAAAATATCCTTGTCTCCTTTTAATTCCCTGCGCTCTCCCAGCTCTCATCACTGTTAACAGTTGGTGCGATCCTTCTGGACTTTTAAATGTATATATAAACATAGTTTTCAAAAAGTAAACATGCATGGGATCAACACTGCATCTTGCTTTTCAAGTTAATCCTTTTTACATCAGAATGTGTACACTATTTTATGCTATGCAACAGGGGCCAAGTACACCATTGCATAACTAAATCATAAATTATAGGTATTTCTCAACTTATGATGGGGGCTATGTCCCAATATTCCTATTATAAATTGAAAATCCCAAGTAAAAAATGCAACTCATCAAGCCTGCACAACACCACCATCTTCCCAACATAGTACACTGGAGAGATAGCTTGTTTACCCTTGTGATTCCGTCGATGAGCTGTGGTCACTTCTGTTTCTACTGAATGCCTATTGATTTCACACCATCCTTCAGTCAAAAAATCTTAAGTCAGGGACCATCTATACTTACTTGGCCCCTTATTGATAGGCACTGCAATTGTTTTCATTTTTGCTTTAATACCACAATGTTTTAATAAATATCCTTATTTGTGTATTTTTATGTTTGCTAATGCTTCTATAGATTAGATTGCTACAAGTAAGATGGCTGGCCAAAGGGAGCACATGTAAAGTTTTGATAAAGTCTTGATAAAGTTTTCAAACTGCCTTCCAGAATTATACCAACATACACTACTACCAAGAGTGTACGAGTATTCAGTGTCCTATAATGCCACCAACACCAGGTGTTGTCTGAAATTTTTTATTTTTGCACCCTTAATTATGGAAAAGTTATTTAAAGTTTTTGCATTTCTTCAACTAGTGATGTTGAGCTTGGTTTCATATGCATGTTGACTGTGCATGTATCTTCTGAGAATTATTCCCATCTCCTGCCAAGTTCTCTCCTGTCTGCCTTTCATCACCTCTCTCTGCTCCTAGGATCCTAAACATCCCCCTTCCAGCCCTGTCATAAAGGAAATAATACAGAGAACAAGGGGAAGGTGAACTGCTGAAAGGAAGCAGGTCTTGAGGTATGAGGAATGGAAGTATTCCCAGTTGGGCCTGTCTGCCTTTAAAAAGACAATGATTACTTCCAAAGACTGGATTGCTGATGGTGCCACTTCAGTCTTCAACAGGAAAAATACTTTCCAGTGGAAGACTTTCCTGGGATCCTCTTTATTGTACTGAGTCAATGCTATCATGATGAGGCTTTCTCCTGTTCGTTACATAATGGCAACTGCTTGAGACTTAGTGTCACGAAGCCTTTGACTTAGTATTCACCTTTCTGCACACTTATCTAAGGAGTTAATCAGAGATGCAGATAAAAACTTATGGACATGGTGTTTGCTATAGCATTGCTTATTGAATCAGAAAACTGGACATTATTTAAATGCCCGACAATACAGAGTAGGTTTATACAATTTAGTAAATCTATATAATGAAATATAAATGCAGCATTTTGAAATGATGCTGGAAGAAGTACATTTAATGTCACTGAAAATTACTTTAATTTTATATTAAATGTATATATGCAACAGAAAAAACACTAGAAGTATATATATCAAAACCCTAATAAAGAATTATATTTGGGTGATGGAAATACAAATACTTTTCTTTTTTGAATTTGTGGGCATATTCCAACTGGGAGGATGTGACCAAATATTACTGTTAAGACAGAAAGCTAGTGCAGATAGTAAAATGTTAAAAGTACTTGATGGTATTACACTCACAAATTACTCACTTTGAACCTGGAAATCACTGAGAAACAAACCCAACTCTGGGCTCAGCAAGGTTCGGTTCTCAGTGAGTCATACTTATGGGAATTCACCACCACACCCGTCCTGGGACTGGGCACTTAGAGCAGGCAGTGGAGTCCACATCCCCACCCACTTTTGTTGCCAAGTCTAAGATAGGGAAGAAGCACGAAGATAAGGAAGAAGCCAGAGCCCAAGAATTAGAATAACAAATAAGTTTTCTAAAAATCATTTGGGTCATCTCCCTGCATCTTGGCAGGTTTTAGGTAAAATAACCCAGACTGACAGAGAAGTTTCCTAGAGAAAGAGGTTCCAAGTGAGACAGGCTTTGGACAAAGGAAAAGCATTTTCTTAAGGTCCCTTGCAAATCCAACCACACATGGAAAAGCCCTGTAAAAACCAACATCCTCCCTGTCTTCTGACCTGACTGCTGATCTCGTGCTGCAGGGCACTGATGTAAGCCCTTGCTTCCTCAGTCACCCAGCCCAGATTGTCCAGAGGTGGCAAAGTTCACTTACATGGCACCTGGTGATCGGGCCCTCCAGGATAATGGTACTGATAGTTCCACGGAGCCTGTGGGGAAGGGTTGGGTGGCAGCACCTGTGCACACACTGGGTACCTCTGAAATTCAAACTGAGGGAACTCCCTAGACCTCAGAGGTCTGGGGAGGTCCGGGGGGTAACACACAGAGGTGAGGGGCAGGGGTCTTTCCAACTGCCTGATGCCCAGGACATCTTGGGGCTGGGAATCGTACCCAGTGTCTGTTGTCGGCAGATCTGCTCGGTTCCTGTGGGGTTGGGGCTGGGGCACCATCTGTTGGCCACTGTCCGAGGAGTCTGCTAAGGCAGGTAAACTTTGATCTGATTTGTCTGAGTCTTGGCCAGTGTCAGGTGAAGCTGCTGAAAGCTGAGATCCCAACCACCGATTACGTTCATCCATAAATGAGAACTGATGCTCTGGAGGAAGGGCTCCAACCACAGACTCAGACTCAGGCCTGCTGGCTGCAGAGGAGCCCGAGGGTAGATCTTTGCCCTGGTCTGGGTGCCTCCTGAAGAAACTGTCTTCACTTTCCTCCAGAACTTTGGCACGCAGGCAGGTGACCTGCTGGGACACAGGCCACTGGTGATTTGCAAGTTTCAGGGAAGGGTGGACCTGAGAAAAGTCTCCTGAGGTATAGGAAAGGGCTTGGGGTGCAGACAAGCTGTTGGGTGCCATGTTCCTTGTATTTGGAGCAGGTGGTTCTGATTCCTCTTCCAGGGAATATTCTGTAATAGATTTCAGCAACTGACTTGGGTATGGTTCTGATTCATCAACCTCCACAGGAATGCTTCGGTTCATTCTAGTGTGCTGGAACAAGAGAAAACATGCCATGGCCTCAGAAGACAGATCAATGCTTGGAGTCCTCACTTTGACCTTAAGGGACCTCATTCAGGATGTGGTTTAAATTAACAGTGGTGTGACACCACTTCGCTTGCAGGGCCCCAATCACATAAAGTTGTTTACTTATCCTCCAGGCAAAGGCACTAGTGCTTATTAAGATATTTTATGTGGAAGGCAGTTCAAAGAATGTGACTCGAAGTCACCCTGTGGTAGAAGTCATTCACCAGCAAGGGGAAAACATGGATGAAAAGCAACTGCCAAGTATTAAGGAGAGAGAAATTATCACGATGTCGGCTGCTTTGGAATTCGCGATGAAATAAATCTCAGTCACTGTACAGAATGATCTCTAAGACACATTGTTAAGGTGTCAAGAAGAAAAGGCAGGGTGCAGACCACTAGGTACACCATGCGCTGTTTTGTGTTAAGGAGAGGGGATGTGTACGCATATGCTTGCATGTGCCTATCTGCCTGTCTACGTGTGAAACGCCTGCAGATACACAGACACTGATACACTGGCTTCCTTTGAGGGTGAACCAGGCTGGGGGAGAGAAAGAGGAGGGAGAGTTTTACCTTTTGAACTTGAAAATTTTTCCTCCGTTTGACTATTGCTTAATTAAAAATCAATAAAATTTTTTTCAGAAAAAGAAAGCACAAGTTTAAACACATTGAAAAGAGGTCATAATGACATTTTTCATTTAACAACTTTAGGTCATTTGGAGGACTTAATTCCCTCTGGGCACTGAGCTTGTAATGAAGGTAGCCATAACCACAACCAAAGGCTTGCTAAAGTGGCCCTCGGCCCCACAGAGCAGAGCCCACACTCTACGCCATATTGCTTTTATCTGTAACAATAGAACTCTTAATCAACCTAAGAGAATGAGAAAGAAAACTTCCCTCCACTTACCATTAATTGGTCTAAGCGAAGCCTGGCTCTAAGGGATGTGGTGGGCAGGCCTGGGAAAGGCTGCCGGGTGGGCTAGGGTTGGAGATTTACAGAAGGCTACAGAGCAGGTGTCACAAAAGAGCAAGAATGCAAAAAAAAAAAAAAATCCCCCGAGGTTTAGACTAGGCAAGGCCTTTGTACATAGCACATTTCAAATACTGGAGAGAAAAAGGAATGTGTGTGGATTTTTAATTCTGCTTTGGATCTATGCAGCATTTCAATCACAAATGTTTACTGAGGGCTTACTGTGCCTGAAGTCACAGAGGACATAAATTATTGTTCTAAGTCAGCTTTTGAAGAACATGAACTCACTTTCTCTTATGCCCTGTACCCAACCCAATAGGAACAGGACAGCATGCATTTTAAAATGCCCCCTCCGCAGAGGTGGGGCCAGCTGTTTGCTACCAGATGTATCTTTTTTCTTTTTCCTGCAGTGCTAGAGATGGAATCCAAGGCCTTGCACATAGAAGATGGACACTCTACCACTGACCTACACCTCTAACCCCTGAGCCATGTTGTTAACTGCCTATAGAAAACCAGGCATGGTGGAGCTGTAGTCCCAGGTACTTGGGAGGCTAAGGTGGAAGGTTCACTTGAACTCAGAAGTTCCAGAGCAGCCTGGGCCACAAACAGAACAAAAGGAATCACTGCCTATAGAAAGCTACCTGGCCACTCCCTGCAAGTGAGTGTTCTTTGGCACTTCTCTCATCCCACTCGGTATCACACTTACCCATTTGCTGACCAACAACCCTTGCCCCGTTTCCCGGCTTCTAATTCCTGGCTGGTCCTCCCTCTCCCTTCTGTCTTTCCCTTCCTGTCTGTCTCCTTTCCAGGCTGTGTGTGGCCCTTGCCCTTTGGCTCTGCAGAAAAGAGACCTCACCATCTAAATTGGTTGGAACTCAAAAGTGAGTAAAAACCTACCAAAAAATATAAAGATTTTGACTTTTTCTTATTTAAAAATGCTCACCATTGTTTTCTTTCTTCCTTACAATTTGTCCACAGCTATGAAATTGCTCTTTAGCTGGCCAGGAAACAAAAGTGTTTTCTCAGGGTGGCTGAGCATTGTGTGTTCCCGGCACGCATCTGTAAGCCCACAGCTGAATGAGAGTGCAAGGAGGGGCGGATGGAAGCCAACTGACAAGAAGACTAAATTCTATCAATTTGTCCCTGTCATGTGAGTCATTTCCATTGCTCCAACTGCAGGCACTTCAGATACAGCCATTTCTGTTCTCCCCGGGTTTCCAAATGGGAATACCTGCACAATACTTCCCACTGAAAAATGAGTTGCAACCTTGACTCTCCTAGCTGAGGGGCCTTCTAGGGACTTTGGGAAAGCTAATAAGCAAGGTAAAAGTGTGATCCTCTCACATGACTGGAAATATGAGGTCCATTCTATGAGTACATAAAACTGTTCTGAAAAGGAACAGATGACAGTACATAAATCTGGCATGGCAGTAAATATCTTCTTGGTAAAACTGTAGGATTAATAATCACTGCAAAAGCAAACTGGGCCCTGGTGTTTTAAATATATCACTGTCAGGCCAGGCATGGTGGCTCTAGCCTATAATCCTAGTTACTTGGGAGGCAGAGATGAGGAGGATTGTGGTTAGTGGTCAGCCTGGGCAAAAATATTCCTGAAACCGTATCTCAACAAATACAAACTGGGTGCTGTGGTGCATGCCTGTCATCCCAGCTATGAGAGAAGTATAAATAGGAGGATCACAGCTCAGGCAGGACCAAGCATAAAGCAGGACCCTATTTCAAAAATAACCAAAGTGAAAAGGACTGGGGGCATTGCTCAAGTGGTAGATAACCTGCCTAGCAAGTGAAAGGCCAAGTTCAAACACCAGAACTGCCAAAAGAATTTATGCAAACAGCAAATAATTCCTGAAACCTACTATGTGTCCAGCTCCATGCAGTGTATCCCACTTGTGAGTCCTAAGCTCAATTAAAATTGCTTTACTTTTTAAATGTCTACAAATGATACAAAAGGCTATACAGTGAGGCTATGCAGTAAAAAGTGATCATAGTGACTTCTAAAGACAAATACAACATTATTGCTGTCTCCAAGTTGTTTGTGATACAGCTCAAGAGAGAAAACAAACATGGGAAAGACAGGCCCTACTCCGGGGCCTTTGCACTTTTTCCTTCAGCTTCTTAGAATATTCTTCCCCCACACAGCTGCACGCATGCGTCCCTTCTCTTTCAGGTCTTTCCTCAGCTGTCACTTTCTCAGTGAGGCTTCTCTTGGTACCCTCTCTAAAATTTTTACACTCTCTCCTCACTCCCATCCCCTTCCCTGCTTCTCCTTCTTCTCTGGCAATTATCACCATTTTATATACTACCCAAAAGTATATTATTATTTTTTTTGCCATACTGGAGTTTGAGCTCAGGGCCTACACCTTGAGCCAGTCCACCAGCCCTTTTTGTGATGGGTTTTTTTGAGAGAGGGTCTCATGAACTATTTGCCCTGGGTTGGCTTCAAACCTCAGTCCTCCTGATCTCTGCCTCCTGAGTAGCTAGGAGTACAGCATAAGCCAACGGTGCTAGGCTCCAAATGTGTATTATAAATACAAGTATCTAACAGATTCCTTGTTTGCTGCCTCTTCCTTCTTTCCAGAATATGAACTTCATGAGGACATGGTTGTTGACTATTCTTTTTGCAGTTATGTTCTCAGTACTTAAAACTCTCTTGCCACTAGTAAGTATTTGGTAAAGATTTGCTGAATGAGCAAATGATTGGTGTCTAGATTAAAGCTGAAACAGATCTGTGTAGCTGTCAGGCTCCATGATCGCCAACAGGGAGTATCTGATGGGCCAAGTCCTCAGGGTTCTTAAAACAATGCCATATGAGTGACCCCTGCCCCTTCCTCTCTTTCTCACTCTCACAAATATTTATTAAATGCCCACCAGGTGTCTAGGCCTGGCCATACCTAGAAGATCCCACCTATGGACAGGGTTGACCCCCAACCCTCACTTGCTGAATAAAGGGTCCATGCCAGGAAAAGCTGGTCTGTTTGTGCATCTGCGGACACGGGTCCCACACAGCCCTGGCCCCTGCCAGAACTGGCAGAGCATGGTCAACCCTGCCAACCCTCCCCGGCAGTCACAGAGAACACTTATACAGAAATGCATGCCAGAGAGCCACGTGTAGACTAGTGGGTTTTGTCAGAGATTCAGTTTCTGTTTTGTCTTTAATAAAATATTTTAAAAATAATATACTTTAAAAAAATCACTCAGCATCTCACCACTTGCTCACCGTCTCCATTTTTTTTTTTCTGTTTCCTTCAGGCCAACTCTATATGCTGTCCATGTGATTGTAACCTAGTGTGGTTACACCAGGCCTTGGGAGAAAGCACTTGACCCCCGAGTGGACAGAAGAGACACCAGCCAGGACCTGGGAGCCCCAGTGCCCGCAGCACCTGCACAGTCTTAGGCTCAAGTCAGCCTCAGGAAGCCAGTGAGAAGCAGAGGCCTGTCAGGCAGAGAGGACAATTGCCCTTGGCCCTGGAGAGCATTTCTGGCTGAGTCCCCTTCTGAGGTTCCCAGTGCAGATGCCCAGGCCACACATTTAGCAGGAGGGAGGGCCATAGATTTTTGTTGAAGTCTCTTAGGCAATCGGCTTTATTCCTGCTTTCCCAAGGGGAGTGAAATCTCTATAGTTCAGCAATAATTACTGGAATTTTAAAAACATATGCCCCTTGAATTACTGCTAAAAACTTCCTCTATAGACACAGGTGCACATTGTGTGAAATGAATAGGCTATGAAGATAGGCGATGTAGCCTAGCAAAGACTAGAAATGACCCATGTGACCAAAAAGTTCTGAATTTTAAAACTGTCGTGTATCTGAATTATAAAGACTGTCTCTCTTTTTTTGTGTGTATTTGGTACTGGGGCTTGAATTCAGGGTCTATACTTGAGTCATTCTGCCAGCCCTTTTTTGTGATGGATTGTTTTTTTTTTCAAAATAGGATCTTGCCAACTATTTGCCCAGGCTGAACCCTGATTCTCCTGATCTCTGCCTCTTGAGTAGCTAGGATTATAGGCATGAGCCACCAGAGCCCAGCTACGGATTCTCTCTCTTTTTAAATAAGAACAAGGAAGTGCTGTATGAACTGTAGTAGAAGTAGCTCAAGATTTATTGTTAAGTTAAAAAATAATAATAATAAAGTTCAGAACAGCGTGGGGCCCTTTGTATGATGAAAGAAATCCATCTCTGGGAAGAAACAGGCTGAGTGTGAAGGGAGCAGGAGGAAGATTTCCTTTCCAGAACAGTTTATACCTGTTGTGTTTTATACCTAGGACAGGTCTAGCTGTTAGAAATGGAAAGGAACAGCTCCATCATTACTTTGGATGCTTATACATTGAGAGCCAATGTGACTGAAGAGCACGAGGCTCCAGGAGAGAGTGAACATGACCTTAGGACACAAAACACTACTGGACAGAGGGTGAGGATGTTTGCCCAGGGTAGCACCGCTGGGCAGGAACTACCAAGAGAGGCTTGTTGCAGGGACACTGAACCAACTGCCACAGTTGTGCAGAGTCCAGTTCACGCTCACACTCCTTCCCATCTGACCCCAAAGTCAGAGGTAGCTCTTCTTTCCTGCGTTCCCTTCACTCTTTGCTCTGCGAGCTATGGCTCCAGCTCTTGGATTCTGATGCCTTTCCCATCTCCTACTTCTTTCTTCTCATCTTTGTGTCAGTTTCTCTATCTCTCCCCAAGCCTTACCTTTAGTTTCCTTTTTTCCTCTTCAGGCCTAAAACCTTTCTCCTAGCTCCTTCCACCCTACCCCACCCCAGCAGCCTGGCTTTGCAGATAAGATCTTACCCAGATGTCAGCAGCCTTGACAATCCTGTGACAATGGACCCCTGGCATCCCATTCACGGAAATTCCCATCCCTTCCCCCCCCAACACACCTATTTCTGTACACAGCTCAGTCAACCTCCTTGAACTGCCTCCAATTCTGCCCAGGTCTATTCCCGGCATCTTTCTCCTGTTCTAGCACATTCTGCATTAAATTATTAGTGTCTCAAAGCAGAATCTGCAAGTCTTCAAACATCACCTTTCTGTTCTCATGGTTTATCAAAATCTTCCTCCCCTGTCCCTCCTCCCTATCATACCTATCTTCCTTTTACAGGTCCATCAGACCCTACTCTGGCTGTTGTGGAAAGCAAGACTCTCTTAGAACACTGGTTAACAGACGCCATCCCCACAGTTAACTGTGGCTCTGCCCCCCAGATGATCTTACTCTGAGCCAACACCTATTTCTAGGGTGGGAGAATATTCATAGTACTTAAATGCATACGCTCTGGATTCAGACACCCCAGATTTCAGTTCTTTCTGTGCTGCGGGCATAGAAGCATGAACTTGACTAAATTACTTCACTTCTCTGAGCATCATTTTTCTCATCTGCAAAAATTGAGGCACTAGCAACACTTCTTCCATAGGGGCATTATGAGGCTGGAAAAAAATATAAAGGGCTTGTAGAGTTTGTCCCATATCAAGCTCTAAAAACAACGGATATTAGCATTTTTCCTGCAATGAGCAATTTGGCTTTGGAACGCTTTTTTTCTAGACTTCGTCCCCTGGTCTTATGCCAGGTGCTAACATTCTCATACGAACCTAATGTATGGAGACTGCATCTGTTTAACCAAAATGTGTATAGGGAGTCATCTCTGGCACTTTTGATTTGCATCATCTTATTTAGTCTTTTAAACAAGCCTGGGCCAGAGATAGGATGAGAGGTACCATTTTGCCATTCCTATTTTCCAAAGGCTGAGTGGTACACATAAAGTAGTTTGTCCAAAGTCATAAACAAGTGATTGGTGAATGCAAATGTAGGCTGTAGGTCTCCAAACTCTTTCCACAAAGACATTAGAGATTAGGGGTTGGCAAACTTTCCTACAAAGGCCCAAATAGGAAATATTTACGCATTATGGGCCACGTGCTGTTGCTGTCTCACATTCTGCCTTAAAAAACAAAACAAAACAAAAAGCCCCAACCCTTTAAAAGATAAAAATTATTCTTAGCAAAAAGAACTCATGGGTGAATATGGTAGAAATGTATGTACTCATGTATGAAAATGGAAAGAGACCTGTGGAAACTGTTCCAGGAAGGAGGAAGGGGGATAAAAGAGACTGATGGAGGGGGTGAATTCAGCTATGATATATTGTAAGAACTTTGGTAAATGTCATAATGTACTCTAGTACAACAACAACAATAATAAAAAGAGCTCATGGGATACCTTTGGCCTGAGGACTATAGCTTACCATCAGCTGATAAAGATTATGCTGACATATCAAGATACAAACCTAATGAAATGGATCTACTTAAGAAACTTAATCCTTTGTTAGCAATATTTATTAGTAATTATTAAATAGTTCCTGTGTGAGAAAT